GCTTGAGTTCCTGGTTCCAATACTCTTGGAAGTCAGGAGGCTTCAGACAGGGAAAATGCTAAAGACTTCACAATGCCACATGAGGCTCCTCCGCTAGCTCTTCACCCACAGACAGCTGTGCTGGGGAGGCGGAGGCGCCCAGGAAACCAAAGTCAGGCTCTCTGAAAGTCACAGTGACTCTGCTTCCCTCTACTGTCCGCTAGTCACGGCCGAAGAAGAAAAAGAGAAAAGGGTTTATTTTATTATTACAGCATAAAAATCCTAAAGGCCTCAGGGAAGCTCCTGTTCACACATTCCAAAGCAAATCTGTAAAGATGGGGGCTGGGGAGCAGGGAAGCAGACAGCTGTTTAGAATTACTGGCTGTGCGTCTAATGCCATAAACGCAAATTTAAGCTATGAAAAAATAAGTAGTCCAAGAGGGAAAGTATTCAGCTTGTTGGGGGTACCAGAGGACCAGTTTCTGCACTGACCGAATAAAATGCCGGAGGCTCCTGGCAATAAAAAGTACTAATGTGAGGCCTGCTCAGAAATCTCCCTGGGAACTGGTCCCCATCCCCCAGAGCCAGGGATGCTGCATCAAAGCATCTGCAGCAAGAGAGCTGCAAAGATAACTAAGTGACAAGAATCTATAGCTCCCTTTCAGTGACAACCACGGAGTCCTGGGTGAGCAGCTGACGCATTGCAGCTGTAACAACAACACACGCGGCACAGGCACACGGCTGACATCAGGGCAGAACACATGTGCGCACACGCAGAGTTAAAAGCCAATTCCAGAGTCTGGCGGTGATATGCAGCCATGCTGCTCGCGGAGAGGTGACAACACGAGAACAAGTGGTATAAGCTAAGTGGTGCACACACATTTTGAATCACAGACAGGCTGTTTTAGAAACGGACACAGTTAATTAGACACAGATGTGTAGTGTTTTCCATGACCTCTTTTTGAGACGTCTGCCATGGGTGCTTATTGGTGTCTTATGATACACAGTGAAAACCGAGGAAGTCACCCTAAGACCAATGGTCTTTGCTGAGGAACCCCCTGGGCCTTCCCCCGCTGCTGTTGAGGGCCGTGTCATGTGCTGCCATCGACAATGACTTTCTGTAGAAACACGGCGTGGGGCCCATCAAGTCCTTAAGTCGCGCTGCATGCATGTTCTCTGTCTGCCAGGCCCCAGGACTCAACGTTCAGGGAAAAGGTCCGATGTTTTAATTTCAAGGAAAGTTTTCACTTCAGTGTCTTTCTCTTAATGGTTCAAAATTGAAAGAAGCCAGAGTTGAAAAGTTATTTATTATCTTTCCTCCAGTAATTTGTACATGTCCACAAAACACATCACATACAGACCCATGAAAACCATCCTGGCTTTTCCAATTTCCGGAAGAGAAAGATGAGGTCCACAGCCCAGCTGGACTATGGAAATGCCACCGTGGCAAGGAGGGTCCAAGGACTGCGCGGGAAGGAAGTGCTGCGGGCACCTGACTCTCAGCTGACCAATACTCTCAGGAACAGCAGAGCCTACGGGGCCTTAAAAACGACCTGCTGTTATCTCCTCGCTTAAGAGAGGAAGGAGCTGGGTCTGGGAAGGAAACCTTGCCAGTTGGTGGCAAAGAGGAGACTTGATCCCCATTTTCCTGTACACCTTAGCATCAGTTATTCTGACTCTAAAAAATACCTTTGAAAACCTAATAGGACTGATGATGATCACGAGCTAAGTTTTCAAACTATCCAAAATACAAAACTATTTAACAGTCCACTTTGTCTAATTATTGAGTTCTTGGTAATAAACACGAACTTCATTTGCCCTCCCACTAGCCTAACCATCTTCCCTCAAATGCCAGTATATGCAAATGAGAATGTAAATCAGTGAGTCCTGTGTTATGATCAAGGTGCTTTCAGATGCTCTTACCTTCTCTTGGTCGCACTTGGAAGACCTCATCAGAGAGTTTTCTGCAAGTTCTTTGGCTGTGCCTGAACCAAGAATGACTTTTGAGTTCTCATTAGATGACTGTAAAAGTCAAATTGCCTTTCAGTCAAGAACCATCAGTCAAGAAGGGAACACTATGTCACTTCAGGACCTTTGAGGGTATGAGTTGGTTTCATGTCTTGATCAAGTGGTAGGTTCAGGAAGTGGCTGAGCCATCAGCGAGTAGTAACTTTCAAATAGTCAACTCTTTAGAAGGGGCAGCTTGCAAGAGAGGCGCAAAATCAGACAAGAGACCAGCCCTGGCAGTTGTCTGAAGTGCTGCCCAATGCAGTGATCGGCAAGCACACACTGAAGCCTACAGGGTTTCAGTAATATGCCATGTTCTGGATTGGTGTGATTCTAACGTTTGAAATGTTTTGCAATAAGGCATTAAACTGCTGGACTTTGGAGGTAGGTTTGCAAATCACTGGAAAATCAAAAGAGAAACATATTGTGTTAAAAAAAAAAAGTGACCCTAAGTTTGAAGATGTAGGATATAGCATATGGAACACTAAATTGTCAAGATGCATGCCAACATGTCCTGTGATATCAGGGTTCAAGTTGAATAACTGGGGCTGCATCTTAGAGTCTACGTTAGAAACGCAGCATCTCAGCACCATCTCCCTCTCAGGAGCATGCCTGCTCCTTTCCCTCCCCCCTTCCTTCCCCACGGGCGTGCATCTCCTAAACTCTAAGGCAGCAGCCGCCAACCTTTCGGACCTCAAGGACCACCAGTGGTCTGCGGACCACCGGTTGGCAACCACTGCTCTAAGGGACTCCATGAGACTTGTAACCAGGGCAGCAATGGGCAGTGGCAGCTCACTCCTGAAGCTTTCTCTTACTCTCCAGTGGCTGACACAGCCCTGCCTTGGCTCACTTCTTTCCTGCAATGTTTCTGGAAAGCCAAAGCAGCCCTGCCTGGTCTCTTTCCTCTTGTTTTCTCTACCCTAGGCCCTTCCTTGTTCCCCAGCTTAATAACGTCCTCTCAAAATCACCTGAACGCATGTTGTGAAATCTTTCCTGCACTAAGTCAAGAACTCACATACTCCAGGCCGGCCCGAGGTCAGGTCCTTGCTTGGTAACATTTTCTATGACCCAGATGGACCTTGTTTCTGGAGCCTATGCAGCCCAGCTGGCTCACTCCTACCACCTCCTTCACCTTCAACTTCGTCAGTAACAACTGGTGCCATTTTGGCATCAAGACCACAGGTAGCATACAGTGCCGTAACTCAGATCACCTATAATTTACCTGAGCATCTGATGACATCACCAGAGATATTTAAACTGCAGATAAAGAGGATCTATCAGATTTCACTGCTTGCTTTCATTCCAACAAAAGAAACTTTGTCTTACATAAAAAAATTTTCTTGACTGAAAATCTTACAAACTCAGAAACTACTTTATAATTTGTTCTGACCATTAACCTTTGTTTTTATTCTTCTGTTTCCATAAGCATATCTCTTATTAAATACCTGGCTGCTTGTTTAAAAAAAAAAAGAAATGTGGCATCTCATACGATAACACAAACTCAAGACTTGTCTTTTACCATTTATCTTTAAAGTAATGTACAAATGAAGTGATGCAAGTTACAATTTTGCCCCTCTTCCAAAAACACACAATATAAACCAAAACAAATGGACAAATAAAGGAAACACCAAAGAAAACTAGAATGACCTCAAAATGTTTCAGTAGGGAACCCTATGAAATCTAGTTTTCCTATTCTTCTCCCTCAACTTAAAATTCACACGCTATGGTGGCCAGAGAGTATAGGTGTGACTATAAAATGATCTTGATTTTCAAAAGTGAACTGTGAAATCAGCTACACATCTTAATCCTTCTCTTAGAGGCTATTTCATAGAAGAGTCATAAACAAAAGAATGAGGGATTGAAGCAAGTTTGGCAAGAGAATCAAAATGGAATTCTGAGAAAATCTATTCTTTACAATGTCATAAAATTCATAACATATCAGACTCAAAATCTAGCCAATGAACAACCTCCTGATCCTGAAAACATAGAAAAAGGGCAAACCGTACAATCAGCATTCATACCTACTAACTTTCATTTTAAAATATACTTGAGCCCAGCCAGCATGGCTTAGTGGTTGAACATCAACCTATGAACCAGGGCACATGCCTTGGTTGTGGGCTTGATCCCCATTAGGGGGAGTGCAGGAGGCAGCTGATCAATGATTCTCTCTCATCATTGATGTTTCTCTCTCTCTCCCCCTCTCCTTTCTGAAATCAATAAAAATATATTTTAAAAAATACTACATTTGGGAGACAACTGAAAATTCAAAATCTTTTCTTAATATTCAATAATTTCAAAGTTAAGGACATTTATTCCTGATTGGGGAAATATAACACTGCATTAGTTAAAGCCCAAAATATTATTTATAATCTTGTTTGCAAACCATTTAAATTTTAAACCATAATTAATGTTAGGAATACCTCCCTCTGAAATTTTGTTGTTAAAGCTTTCTGGAGCCATACACTGTGTGATTTCCCTCCCTCAAGAACTGAAGCGAGAGTCATATATTAGCCAGATGTGTTTTCCACGCTCATTCTTTTTAACGAAGTGGCTTGTTTCAAAGGCTTTCTGAGGCAGCCTGCAGATGCTGCCCATACAGAAGCACGTCCCTGGGCCAGGAAGAGCGAGCCCTGCATCTGGCGACACTTCCCACCGCACCGAGTGAGCCGGGCAGGTGCTGCCACAGCCGCTGAGGTGTGCGCGTCCCAGCACTAACAGACACTAGACCTCAGGAGCACCCTGGGCATGACTTTTAACCTTTTAGCCCAGGAGATACTGGGCTAGAGCTTTTGTACACGTGTAAGTGAAGAGCTTTCTCAACACCTTAAGCCAGAGAACGGCAGAGACCATTACAGGAAGGAATGTTCCCGGGTGTGCATGGCAGTAGAGGTAGACAAGGGTACAACTTCAGCACAGAGACATAAAGCGTCACGGAAGGCCGTGCAAGGTGGTTAGTGAGAAGCCAAGCACTGTCCAGGAGCCCTCAGACTCGGGTGCCCCCACTCATGACCAACCTGCCGTGGCCCTGCATGTCCCCCAGCTCCTTCTGCAGCCTCGAGTTCTTCTCCTCTTCCTCCAGCAGCCTCCTCTTCACAGTGCGCAGCTCCTGCTGGGCCTCACACTTGATGTCATTGGCCACCACCACTGCCGTCTGCAGGTCTGCCTGGAAGCGCCTCCACTCCTCGGTTTCCTCCTGAGAATGCCAGAGCCCCCACGCACATCAGACGCCCACCAGGGCTGGCACCCTGGCGGGGCTCCAGGTCCCCCGTGCCCAACACTGAGAAAGACCAGCTCGGCAGTCTTAGTGAGGCGCTGGCATCTCACTACAGGGAAAAGGCACAGGTGGGAGTCAGGCCTTCGTGCTATCAGAGTTCTCCATCCTGAAACTGAATGGTCGCTTTAATTTTACTTCCTGCCAACACTCACCTGGGCCCATGCCATGGAAATGCACTATGAAAAAACAGGCTAGGCTAGCGAGAGTAATCAGGGTATTTTTCAAACGTTTCCAAACCTAAGGGGGATTCGGGTAAAGTGGTGGAGAAGGTCCCCATCCCTGCTATAACCACATCTCACCTTTATCTGCTTAGTCAGAGTCTTCAGCTGCCTCTCCAGGTCTGCTTTCTGTTCCTCCAGCTTCATCACACTGCCTAGGAGCAAAGAAGTCAGACAGCAGTTGGCAGAGTTGTGAGACTCTTGGGAAAAGGTAAGCAAGGTAGCAAAGGAGCAGCTCCGGATTTGCAACAGGCACTAAAATCCACCCACTCTACTGTGAATCCCATCCTCAGCACCTGAACACTGGGAGCCAGAAGCAGGAGGTTCTAAAAGAGAGCACGGGATGAACTGAAAAACATGTGGGTTTTGGTTAGGTTACACCCAGGTGACAGGCGCTGTGGGAAGAGACCTACAGCTCCTCACACTTGTTACCCTCACTCGTGGCCTCCCTGAGTTCTGTACATATCGTCCTGAATGTCCTCAGCGCTGTGAGGCTTCTGGTAACAGGCAGAGGAGATGACTAGTTAGTACCGTGGTGCCTTTCAGGCCCATTTCTAGAGCTCCAGTTCTTAATCACAGTGAAACCTCAGAGTCACTTGGGAAGCTTTTCAAAAGCACAAACGTCCAAGCCGCAGACTGACCACGGAGTTGGAATCCCCAGGGCGGAGGAATGTGGGTGTGTGTACTTTCAGAGCTTTCAGTGACGTGACTACCTCTCCCTCACTCAGAACATCTTTAGCTCCTCACTCTGTCTCCAGTTCTCTCCAGTTACTGTCAGTCTTTCACTTTGAATCTGATCATGTCCTCTACCTAGTCACAACCCTTCAATGCTTCCTCGTGATCCACTAAAGAGCAGCAGTTGTCTATTAAGAATATGAATCAGAATTATCAGAGAAGCTTAAAAAGTCCCACAGGTTCAGGTCCTCCCCCAGAAATTCTAATTCAGTATGTGAGGCCCAAGAATTTGTGTTTGGGTCAGTGCTGCAGAACGAGAAAATGCTCCTTAACGTTTTAGTTCACTTTTCTGTCCATTTCTTTCAAGGATCTTATGAGGAGGAGTGATTGTCCTTGGCTGGGTTTGTGTGTCCCTGGGCCTCCTAGTGAAAAGGCATCTTAGTAATACCTTAATATCCCTGATAGAAGCTAAAACGTTTCTTAAAGATGCATGGTCTGCGTTACTGCCCGCTTGCATCTGTGATGATACAGGTGCAGGGAGTCTGCCTGACATGTGTTCTGGACATTAATTACATGCTTCTTGCTTGGTGTGCCTGTGCTGACTTCGAAGGATTTGGGACAACACAACCGAATTCTCAACAGCAGTGTATCACTAAGTGAAAAACCAAAACAAACAGGACTTCTCTTGGACTTTCTACTTCTCAAGGATGATGCTGTTTGAAATACACACTGACCACTGACCATGGTGCTGGGCCTTCTGCTGCCTTCTCAAGCATGACTACTGAGGACAGCCTGAAGACACTGACCCCAGATGGCCATGCTCTAGAGTTCTACCACGTGTCAGTTCTAATGAACACTGGACTCGACACTCCCCTTAATCAAGGAGAACTATACACAGTCAATTCTCATCATCTGTTAGTTACACGGAGGTGCCATGCAAACCCAATGAGGAAATATTAAACTACTAGAGGCCCGATGCACGAAATCCGTGCACTCAGGGGTGTTCCTCAGCCCAGCCTGTGCCCTCTTGCAATCCAGGAGGAGCCCTTGGGGGATGTCCGACTGACGGCTTATGCCCGCTCCTAAGCCGTCAGTCGGACATCCTTAACACTGCTGCAGAGGCAGGAGAAGCTCCCACCACCACTGCTGCGCTCGCCAGCCATGAACCCAGCTTCTGGCTCAGCGGCATTCCCCCTGTGGGAGTGCACTGACCACCAGGGGGCACCTCCTGTGTTGAGTGTCTGCCCCCTGGTGGTCTGCTCATCATAGTGACCGGTGGTTCTGCTGTTTGGTCAATTTGCATATTAGCCTATTATTATATAGGATTGCTTCAACAGAAAATACAGGGTTAAGGTACTGTGAGCCTCTGGTCACATTTTCATAAAATGAAATGCTATTTGTGTTTTATTTACTTACTTAATTATTTATATCTGTATTGTTGAAAATATTACATATGACCCCCCTTTTCCCCAATGAACCCTTATAGCACACCTCCATCCCCCACCCCAGGCCTTCACCACCCTATTGTCTGTGTCCCATGGGTTATGCATATATGCATACAAGATCTTTGGTTGATCTCTTCCCACCCACCCACTCCCCATTCCACAGTCTGTGCCATGTTTCCATGTCTCTGGATCTATTTTGTTCATCCGTTTATTTTGTTTATTAGATTCTACATATGAGTGAGATCATGTGATACTTGTCTTCCCCTAACCAACTTATTTTACTTAGCATGATACTCTCCAAGTCCCTCTATGCTGTCTCAAAGGGTAAGAGACTCTTCTTTTTTACTTCTGCATACTATTCTATGGAGTAAATGTCCCACAGCTTTTTTATACACTCATCTGCTGATGGGCACTTGGGCTGTTTCCAGACCTTAGCTATTGTAAATTGTGCTGCTATGAACACAGGGGTGCATACATGCTTTTTGATTGGTGTTTTGGGTTTCTTAGGATATTCCTAGAAGTGGGATCACTGGGTCAAATGGCAGTTTCATATTTAATTTTTTGAGGAAACTCCATACTGTTTTCCATAATGGCTGCAACAGTCTGCATTCCCACCAGCAGTGTACCTGGGTTCCCTTTTCTCCACATCCTCACCAGCACTTGTCATTTGTTGATTTGCTGATGGTAGCCATTCTGACAGGTCTGAGATGGTACCTCATAGTCGTTTTAATTTGCATCTCTCTGATGATTAGTGACTTTGAGCATTTTTTTCATATGTCTCTTGGCCATCTGTATGTCCTCTTTGGAGACATGTCTATTTAGGTCCTTTGCCCATTTTTCAATTAGATGGTCTTTCTTTTGTTAAGTTGTATGAGTTCCTTATATATTTTGGATATTAACTCTTTATCAGATGTATCATTCATTGCCAGATATGTTCTCCCATACGGTGGTTTCTTTTTATTTTGTTGATGGGTTTTGTTTTTGTTTTGTTTTTTTGTTTTTTGCTGTGAAGAAACTTTTTATTTTGATGCAGTCCCATTTATTTTCTTCTTAGTTTCCTTTGCCCTAGGAGATGTATCTATAAACATATTGCTATGAGAGGTGTCTGAGATTTTGCTGCCTATGGTTTCTTCTGGGATTTTTATGGTTTCATGACTTACATTTCAGTTTTATATCCATTTTGACTTTACTCTTGTGTATGGTGTAAGTTGGTGGTCTAGTTAACATTTTTTCCATCTATCTGTCCAATTTTCCCAACACCATTTATTGAAGAGACTCTTTTTTAAAAATATATTTTATTGATTTTTTCACAGAGAGGAAGGGAGAGGGATAGAGAGTTAGAAACATCGATGAGAGAGAAACATCTATCAGCTGCCTCCTGCACACCCCCCACTGGGGATGTGCCCGCAACCAAGGTACATGCCCTTGCCCTAAATAGAACCTGGGACCCTTCAGTCCGCAGGCCGACACTCTATCCACTGAGCCAAACCGGTCAGGGCTGAAGAGACTCTCTTAGACTTCCATATTCTCTTGCCTCCTTTGTCAAATAATTGAGCGTAATAATTCGCTTGGGTCAATTTCTGGGTTCTCTTTTCTGTTTCATTGCTCTATATGCCTATTCTTATGCCAGTTCTAGGCTGTTTTGAGTACAGTAGCTTTGTAGTATAATTTGAAATCTGGCAATGTGATTCCTCGATCTTTGTTTTTCTTTCTCAAAATTGCTGCAGCTATTTGGGGTCTTTTTTGGTTCCATATACGTTTTTGGAGTATTTGTTCTAGCACTGTGAAATATGCCATTGGTATTTTAATAGGGATTGCATTAAATTTGTAGATTGCCTTGGGTAGTATGGACATTTTAATGATGTTGAGTCTACCAATCCATGAACATGGAGTATTCTTCCACTTGTTTATGTCTTCCTCTATGTCTATTTTCAATGTCCTCTAGTTTTCTGAGTACAGGTCTTTTACCTCCTTGGTTAAGTTTATTCCTAAATATCTTAATTTTTTTGTTGCAATGGTAAATAAGGTTGTTTGTTTAATTTCTCTTCTGAGAATTCATTATTGGTATATAAAAAAAAGCCATCGATTTTTGAGTGTTGATTTTGTATCCTGCTACATTGCCAAATTCATTTATTCAATCTAGTTTTGTTGTTGTTGAGTTTTTAGGGTTTTCTATGTACAATATCATGTCATCTGCGAATAATGAGTTTTACTTCCTTTTTTCCAATTTGGATGCCTTTTATTCTTCTTCTTGTCTGATCACTGTGGCTAGGACTTCCAGTACTATGTTGAATAAAAGTGGTGAAAGCAGACATCCCTATCTTGTTCTTAGGGGAAATAGTTTTAGTTTTTGCCCACTGAATATGATGTTGGGTGTAGGTTTGTCATATATGGCCTTTATCATGTTGAGATATGCTCCCTCTACTCCTACTTTGCTGAGAGTTTTTATCAAAAATAGGTGATCGATTTTGTCAAATGCTTTTTCTGCATTTATTGATATGATCATGTGATTTTTGTCTTTCAATTTGTTTATGTGATTTATCACGTTTATTGATTTTCAAATTCTGTACCAGCCTTGCATCCCTGGAATAAATCCCACTTGGTCATGGTGTATGATCTTTTTAATATATTGCTGGATGTGATTTGCTAAAATTTTGTTGAGGATTTTAGCATCCATGTTCATCAGGGATATAAAGTCTCTTTCTTTGTAGTGTCTTTATCTGGTTTTGGAATTAGGATAATGCTGGCCTCATAAAAAGAGTTTGGAAGTGTTCCTTCCTCTTGGATTTTCTGAAATAGTTTGAGGAGTATAGGTGTTTGCTCTTTTTTTAATGTTTGGTGAAATTCCCCTGTGAAGCCATCCAGACCTGGGCTTTTGTTTGCTGGTAGTTTTTTTTTATTACCGCTTCTATTTCATCAGTTGTTATTGCTCTATTCAGGTTTTCTGATTCCTACTGGTTCAGTTTTGGGAGACTGTATTTTTCTACAAATTTGTCCATTTCATCCATATTGTCCAGCTTGTTGGTATATAGTTGTTCATAGTATTTTCTTACAATCCTTTATATTTCTGTGGTGTCAGTGGTTACTTCTCCACTTTCATTTCTGATTTTACTTATTTGGGTACTCTTTGTTTCCTGATGAGTCTGGCTAATGGCTTATCAATTTTGTTTATCCTTTCAAAAAACCAGCTCTTGGTTTCACTGATTTTATATTTTTTTTAGTCTCTGTGTTATTTATTTCTGCTCTAATCTTTATTTCCTTCCTTCTACTTAATCTGGGCTTTTCTTAATGTTCTCTTTCTAGTTCTTTAAGTTGTATGGCTAAATATTTTATTGCTAATTTTTCTTGTTTTTTTGAGGTAGGCCTATAGTGCTATGAACTTCCCTCTCAGGACGGCTTCTGCTGTATCCCAGAGATTTTGGGTTGTTGTGTGCTCATTTTCATTTGTTTCCCGGAAATTTTTTTATTTCTTTCTTGATCTCATTGGTAACCCATTCATTGTTTAATAACATGCTATTTAGCCTCCATGTATTTGAATGTTTTTCAGTGTTTTTACTGTAGTTGATTTCTAATTTCATTCCACTGTGATCTGAGAAGATGCTTGATATGATTTCAATTTTCTTGAACTTATTGACACTTGTTTTGTGTCCTAACATGTGGACTGTCTTTGTGAATGATCCATGTGCACTTGAGAAGAATGTATATTCTGCTGCTTTGGGGTGAAATGTTCTAAAAATGTTCAATTAAATCCATCTGGTCAAGTGTGTCCTTCAGAGTCACTGTTTCCTTGTTAAGTTTTTGTCTGGAAGATCTATCCAGTGAAGTCAGAGGGGTGTTAAAGTCACCTAGTATGACTGTATTGTTGCCCATCTCTGCATTAAAGTCCTCTAGAAGATTTTTTAATATAATTAGGTGCTCCTATATTGGGTGCATATATATTTACCAGGGTTATATCCTCTTGTTGGATAGATCCCTTTAGTATTATGTAGTGACCTTTGTTGTCTGTTGTGATGACCTTCATTTTAAAATCTATTTTGTCGAATATGAGTATTGTTATTCCAACTTTTTTTTCTTCTATTTGCATGGAAATTTTTTCCCATCCCTTCACTCTCATCCTGTGTGTGTCTTTTGTTCTGAGGTGGGTCTCTTGTAGACAGCATACAGTTGGGTCATGTTTTTTTTATCCATTCAGCTACCCTATGCCTTTTGATTGAAGCATTTAATCCATTTACATTTAGGGTTATTATTGATAGGTACTTATTTATTGTTATTTTAACACTGTATGCCTAGGTTTCTCTGTTTCTCCTTCTCATTAGAGCAGTCCCTTTGGCTCGGAGGTGATATACTCCTTTAGACTTTTTTTGTCTGGAAAGCTCTTTGACTATCTATTTTGAATGATAGCCTTACTCGATATAGTAATCTTGGTTTCAGATCCTTGCTTTCCATTACCTTGAGTACTTGATGCCATTCCCTTCTGGCTTGTAGAGTTTGTGATGAGAAATCAGCTGACAGCCTTAAGGGAAGCTCCTTTGTAGAATTGCTTTTCTCTTGCTGCCTTTAATATTCTCTGTCTTTAATTTTTGGCATTTTAATTATGATGTGTCTTGGCGTGGGCCTGTTCGGGTTCTTCTTGCTTGGGACTTGTGTGCCTCATGAACTTGTGTGACTTTTTCCTTCACCAGGTTAGGGAAACTTTCTGCCATTATTTCTTCAAACATGTTCTCTATCCCTTGTTCGCTTTCTTCCTGGTACACTTATTATGTGAATATTGTTATGTTTCGTACTGTCCCACTGCTCCCTTAAGTTGTCCGACTGTTTTTTAATTGATTTTCCTTTCTGGGTCTCTGAGTGGTTTTTTTCTACCCTGTCTTCTAATTCACTGATCCAATTCTCGGCTTCTCCTAATCTACTGTATATTCCTTCCACTGTGTTCCTTATTGGTGCTATGTCATTCTTCATAGTTACTATATTTTTTCTCATGCGGTTGAGCCTCTTTGTCATCATTATTCTAAACTGTATGTCTGATAAATTTCTTATCTCCATTTCATTTAGCTCTTCCTCTGGAGAATTCTCTTGTTCTTTCATTTCAGGCTTCTTTTTTTGGCGGCCTGTTTGGGTTTGTGTCTGTGTATTAAGTAGATCTACTATGGCTTCTAATCTCTAGTGCAGGACAATGTCAGACTCTGTTTGTGATTGACCCTGAGTACCCTGTTTATAGCTATTAGCAATCCATAGCTTGTGGCTCCCTCTGCTGGGACTGGGCGCCTTTGGAAAAGACCAAGATGTGCACCAAGGTCTGCTTTTGCTAGCCCTAGGCCCAGAAGGGAGCTATTTATGTTTTATACAATAAGTTTGTTTGCCAGTGTCTTTGTTTAAAAAAAGCCCCTCCCATCAATGATGGACACCTGCTTGCCCACATAACCCTTTTCCTGCATAACAGGTATTTTTAAAAATTTCCCATAGCCTCCTGATCTGCAGAACCTGCCTCACCCGCAAGTTTTTAACTTTTCTCACTCACTGTGTTGCCCTTGAGCCATGCAAGCCCAGCACCCACTGAGAAGAGTTTAGCCCTTTCCTGATCCTGGAAAATGTGATTATAAATTTGTCTGCTTTTTGCTTTACAGTAATGCTGTCCACTATGTTTTTTGTGTGTGGTTTTTAATTGGCTGTTACCGCATGAAGCTACAAATTTGGCCGTTTTTCCACAGCTTCATCAAACACCACAGACTTTACTTTTAGCACCTTCTGGAGCAATCTCCTGTGCAGATTGGTGAACTTCCTCTAAGTTTTGGTTAACATTGAATGACTCAATGAACACTGCTGATTTGCTAAGACTGAATTCACACCCAAAAGCACTAGAATCGGGTTTCAACAAAGCTGGTCTAACACACCTGTTTTCTCCACAAGATGCATCACAGCTTTTCTGCACCTTGGGACACTACACAGCATTTGGGGACTACACTTGGGGTTCATTTCAAACAGTGAAATCACCAACAAAAAGCACAAAAATGCAAAAATCATGGCACTAAGTAAACCATGAAAAAGACTTGTTTACAGTGGGAGAGGTGAAGTGAGAAGGTGTCACCAAGTTCAATCTGAGCTGGGGTGCACTTTGGGAGACTCAAATTTTTCACTGCCCCGCGCACGTCTGCAAATGACCGTGGAGGTGTCGCGAACTCTGATTTTGAAGTTACAAATAACTTTTGGCAAGTGGGTGAACTCACAAATATGGATTCCATGAATGATCAGTTTGACCTATGTATGCTATTTTTAGCAATGGTTAGTGTCACTAAAAGATCTATGCATTAATTCTTTTGTTACAAAAGCAAAACACATTAAATGAGATCATTTGATAAGACTTAATCTGGACAAAGCATGCAATATTTGACTGATCACTTTTAAACATGTCTTTCCCTATTCAAAGCAGACAATGACTTTGTAAATAAGCCATATACTAGTGCCTCTTCAGTGACAAAATGGCCACCTTTTCAGTTATTTGATATCCTACCATCAATAGGACACATGCTGAAATTGTTTTCCGACATCAAGAGCACACACTGTTCAGATACTCTGACCATCTGTCACCCACCTTTTTAGCCATCAATCCTGAAAGAAGACACATTGTTATGCCTGACAAGTGTGTTCAGCAGTGTGGCTCACACACAGTATACCTAACACCCCACACTGTTGACTCACGTACAACAATCTTTTCTTCTACATCACCCAGTTTTCAACTTAGTTTAAGAGATTAATTATTCTGTCTTTTTAATTGCCATTCTTCTTAGGAGATTAGAGAACATTTAAAAGAAAGGCTTTTCATAAACATTCTTACATACCATCTCCCAGTTACCCACTGCTGCTGGTTTCTTTTATATCCTACCCACTCCTGATTGACATTTCATCAGGGCTTGATTTCACTTACTTTCTAGCTCACTGATGAGTTGATTATTATGTAACTTAACAGCTCGATGCTGTTCCACCTGATCTTCCAATTCAAATATGGTTTCCTTCATGTCTTTAATCTCTGCATCACTCTCTGATGCTTTCTCTTGTAGTTTTAGGCTGGTTCTGCTCAGCTGTTCCGCTTGATGATCACATATCTCCTTCAAGTAAGAATAATCCTTCTCCACCTAAAATAAAAGGAAAGTTCCCTGGTCAATGTAACAGGAAAAAGTTCTCCACACATTAGCATCAGGCTCCTCAACATAACAGCAGAGAAAGCGCTTGGCACATGCCACACCTGGCAGCACAGACACGGCCAAGGCTATAAATACGCAGAGAAATGTGATACATACACAAGGACAAATGGGTGGATTCTGTACCCCTTTCTACCAACATAAAGAAAGCTGCACATACTTAGATATCCTCCTTTCAGGCATCTGGGTAAAGCAGCGCTTCACACTGGGAGGCTGGGGCGGCTGCCTTACCTCATATCTGTTGTGGAGCAGCGCCGCCTGCTGGGAAGCCAGGAACAACACCCTAAATCCTGACATCCCCAAATCTCTTTCACCATCAAATACTTGTGGCTATAACATTAATGTCACAGAGAACACCAGTTGAAGGCACAGAACATAGAAATGTGCAGGCACCAGACAAAGAAAAGTGGCACAGCACAGAAACTCATTTTACCTTTTCAATTTTTAATCATTAAACATTTAAAATGTGCAGAAAAGCACCAAAAGTGATGAGATAACCATACAGACTTAACAATGGTGAAATTCTGCCAACATTTATTAAATCTTTTTACTTTAATAAGATTTGTTAAGACCTCAACTTTCTCCCACCCTAGAGAGCAATATGCATTATTCTAAAATTGGTGTGTGGTCATCCCTTCCGTGGTTTTTATACATAAAATTTTTACACAGATGATGTTATAGTATACTATTCTTTTACAGTGTGCTGTATTATACTGCATTATATTATATGATAATGTGTTTTTCCCTGTATTATACTATGTTTATTATGCTTTTATAACTTGTTTTTGAGATATATTCATACTGATATACATTGCTCTAGGTCATTACTGCAAATGCTGCACAGCATTCCACTGTCTGAACATACTAATTATTTTATTATTATGAACTGTCCCTCTTCTATAGTCTTTCAATTTCTATTACTAAATAGTTGTATATTTACCAGGTATTGTAAGCCTGATTGATACCTAACAGATTTCTTCCTACATTTGGAGGGGTTTCCATATACAATGTTTTTTCCAATTGTATTTCATGTGCAAACCTTCTGGCTGTGCACTCTATGGAGACAGGGCCCTGTATGCTTTCTTCACCTTTCTATCCCCATGGTCAGCCCTAATGAATTATCTGACAAATGAACAAACAGTGAAAGGAAGTATTGCACTGTTTTTCAATTGGGAGGTTGTGAGAAGAATAAAAAAGAAAGGGAAGGAGAGAGAGAATAAGAGAGAGTGCAACATGGGAAAGAACCAGAGTACATTGCCTACGTTAAGGGTGAGTATTTTCTGTGAAACTTGTTTCAATTATAAGGTGTGGTTCTGTGTCACAATACATGTCATTGTAGGTTGCTGTCATAAGTTTGAAAGCTACTGTAGTTCATGAAAATGACTAAGGGTGGGGACCTGGAGCCAGACTGCCAGAGTTTAAATTGCAATACTACCTGAGAGAGCTGAAGGGACAGCCACCAGGGTCCCCTGCTGAGTCCCTCTCCCACACGGCTCACAGACACCATCTTTCCTGGTGGAACACTCCCCTCCATACGGGGAATGCACTAGCCCCCCCCCCCCCCCCCCCCAACCCCCCCTCCTCCCCCCCCCCCCACCCACCC